CAATTTTACACTGTTTCATACCTTCGGATGCTGCGGGACCAGCATTTTAGGTGTATCATAAAATACTCTATTATTAATGTGGTTTTGCTAAACCTGGTCAAAATAACAATTAAATATGCAGTTTGAGTCTTGTGCACACCATTCTCTCTCAAGTTACTTCATCTGAGAGAAGGGTACACATCCCTTTAATAGAGAAAAGATGCCTCTAGACAGAGATGATGCCAGAGAGAGAAACCGCTATGGCTTGTGCAGCTGCTGATTCTTGTTAGAAATTAGATTCTTTGTAGTCATTAAGAAATGTAAACCCCCTACACTAAGCTATGTTGTTGATGTTTGTCTCATGATCTTTAAAGCCTGAATATGCTTCTTTTCTAGACAAGCTACTGCATACACTCATCTCTTGTTTTGGTACAAGACAGCCCGTTCTGAGAATAAGGAACAGTTTTATAAACATAAATGAGCACTGCTGCCTTGAACTAAATCCTGTTTCCTCTGGAAGCCTATATGAATTGCCTGAGCGCAGATGGGCTGCAGGGGAGGGAGCAGTAGTAGTAACAACCACCTCTGTTTCTCATATTTAAATGTCACAGCAGAAAAATGTTGTCTTCTATATCAATGTCAGAAAAAGCTTGTTTTCATTCAATCCAGGCTGCCTTTACTTGGCAGCTGGAAGTGTATTCCTTGGTGTGAGATTTTGCAAATAAAGGCACATGGATTCATGATAACCTGAATGCATCCTGATGAGCAATGGCTCTCACTTGATTATGTTTATTCTAGCCTACCTCATTTCATATTCCCCTTAGGCTATTCCATGAAGTGGAGCATTGCTGCATGGCATGCTGAGAAGCCAGGATTCTCCACTTGCCCAGAGTTAGTACTCTGGTCTAGTCTATGCAAGTCTTTATGATTTTGTGAGATGAAGCAACCATTTTAGGAGACAGGAATCTACTTTTGTTTTCAAGTTAGTGCCTTAGTTTTCACCTGTAACTTCGCTTGGTTTGTAGGTAACAGTCTAATGTGTATGTAGTCCCAGCTTAAATAATTATTTCCTCCTTCAAACAGGTTTTTCCAGGCAAGTTTGAGCTGCTTACACCAACCAGCACACACCTTCTCAACCAATTCTGAGTCACTCTTCGTTAATCGTCCAACAGGTTCCACTATTAAACAATAAGCTTAAGTGTATACCCAGCCACCAGGAACAGACATGAGAAACTGTAAGTGACTCAGGTTTTAAGACATAAAATAAGGAAGAGAAGAAAGTGGCAAAAAAAAAACATGCATAAAATTTACGTGAGGATACATCAGGGTCTGAGATGAATGCCTTACGTGGGGAGAGTGCCATGGGGAAGGTGTTCCCTCTCCTATATGCATGCTCCTGCTCACAGCCCTGTCTCCCCTCTCCTTTATGCAGCTTGGGTGGGCACTGCCTGTCTGACTTCAGGAGTTCTTTATGGCCCTGTTCAGAGCAAGGCCTTTTCAACAGCCGTAGGCAGGCTCCTCTTAGAATTTCACACATGAGTAGTTTGAAAATTCTTTCGGAGGCTGGTAGGCAGTTCCTTGTTCTACTGCCACTGAGGTTTTCCTGGTTTTCATCCTGTGTTTTATGCTAGTTATATATGTAAGTAGGTTTATTCTTTGAATTAGAAGTAAATGGTTTGGGTATAAAATGTATTCCATATTTTTGTCTAGCCACCATATAAACATATTCAGTAGTTGCTAAGACAGGAAAGGTTGGTTGATTCAATTTATAAATAAATTTAAATGTAATAAAAAATACTGTGTGAGGGATGGAATGTCTGAGAGGGTGACCTGCTTAAGAGATGGAGTAACTTACTAAAAAAGAATCCTGTAGGTTCTTCAGGTATAGAGTAAAATATATCAAGCAAAAAGGCAAGAGTTAATTTCCATCATATGTTGATGTAGTATACTGACTTTTCAAAAAAAAAGAAAAAAAGAAAAAAGAGCAGGGGAAACTGTTTTTAAGAGCATACATTCTCAGTGAACTGAATGGAAATACTCAGAATCATGGTTTCTTGTTTTTTGGAGTAGGTGGTTATTTTTTCATGGTTTTCTAAACATGTATCTGTTTTTCCAGAATGTTTCTGATCCCTGTGCTCCCAGGTAGAGGAATAGCAAACCTTGCAGGAAGGGTGGTGCTGGGCAGCTCTGCCTCTGAGCATACAAATGCCTCTGAGCAGAGTGCAGGTGTTCTGTCTTGCATGGTGCTCACTGAGATAATCAGGTGTTTAGGCATGGTATAAATAGTGGGCTACATAGACAGGTCACTTGCTGTCTGGTCTGACTGATTCTCAGAGCTATTGCATGTAAACATCCTGTCCTATTGGGTATTTCCAGGAGAGTGAGGCCAAGGTAAACACTTATGTTAATATTATCTTTATGGAAAAGAGATGCAAACATACTAATGAGGGGTTGGCACCATGATTAAAGGTTTTTATTTCTTTTCCTAAAGATTGTGTACATTTTACATCAGATGTAAAATATATTTACCATAATTTTTCTTGTCATAAATTGAATGTTTCTTGCAGTGAGGCATGAAGGTGCCATATTACTATCTCCTACATTGTATTCCATAGGCTATATTTTCTATTCACCTAAAAATCAGGTTCTAGAAAAGCTCTGAGTCTGACCAGAGTTATACATTGTGATTAGACTCTTACAGAATATTTCCATCCCCAAACAACCACATCCACTGGGAGCCCAGTGACAATGAAACACAGCAGAGCTGTAACAACTTCCTTGGTTTGGGAGCTAACCCTGGCCAATGAGCCAGCCAGGACTCCTCGTCTTTTGCCTCCAGCACCTCATATTTCTAGGGTTCTGCCATCCAAATTCTGGACGAACTTGTTATGGGTGAACATTGTTATGACCTTGATTAATCCCAGAATCAAGTAAGAAGAATTAATGACAGACTTGTGAAGTTGGGACCAAAATGGAAATAGGAAATATTCAATCTCAGGGTGAGAAGGAAGTTTTAGTAATCTAGCTACCTGCACTGCCTGCAGGATGTTAAGCAGTCCTGCAGTAATTCCCCTTCATAAGCCTGTGCCTGTAGAAAGAGCTGAGCTTTCAGGGAGAACAGTGATCCTGATTCCTGGTGCTAATGAAGCAACCTATCTGTGGTAAGCTGTTGCAGTGATGAATTCCTTTGCTCTGAAAAATAAGGGTTTATGTTTTCCATCTGGATTTGTCTGGCCACCAATTCTTCTTTGTTTTTGTCTGCTCAAGCAAAGAGTCTTCTATTATAATTCTTTTGTCTTCTGTATACATATTTGTGGATTTAGCAAATTCTCTGCCCTACACAACAGTTACTTGGATAAGCTAAATAAAGTGGTGTCATCTAGTGCTACTAACGTCATCCGTTTCAGCCTGCTATGGAGAAAGTTGAGGAACTTATTCAAGCAAATGCCTGCTTACCAATCCTTTAAGCATTCTTGCAGTTGTGATAACTTCTAGGCTTTGGAGTTGCAGTAAGGAATGCTTTATACCACACACTTGCTTCCATGTACTTTGGTTGATTTTTTTTCTAGAGGACTGAGACAATTTGCCATCTTTACAGTGGCAATCAAACTGAGTGGGAAGGGGGTAATTCTGCATGGAAGCTGTACCGTGAACTAGATGGGGAAACATATAAAGCAAATTTTTAAGGACAGCATTTCCTTTCTGCATTCAGTAGATTAATGTTCAAAGCCGTATAAAAGCACTTTAATCCCTTTTTACTGTTCCCCTATGCAAGTCTCTTCTGATAGACTTGGAGGCTGTCAGCCTCACCAGCCAGCCTCACACAAAGAAGTGGCAGGCAGGAAAAGCCGAATAGCAGGTGATGAAAATCCAAAGTGAAGAGAACTCAGATGGTTTCCTGAATACATCAATGGAGTAACAGTGAGAGCAGACAGCAGCTGGACTGAGAATGTAAAAAGGCAAGTACGAATCACTGACAAACAATGCTCTTTGGAGACTTTCCTTATGCTGACTTGGAAACCTGATCTGAACTTGGAGTCTATTCAGTACTGACACTCAGACCAAACTCCAAGTAGAATAAAGGGTAAAAACATAGCTGCTCTAACACAAGACAAGACATTTGTAAGTCACTAAAGCATTCCTTTAGCTAAATGCAAATTAGTGTAGATTTATCGTAAAAAAATGCGGTGGAGCAGGTCATATGTACTATAAAATGATAGCGCATGTGTGTTTTCCTCCTTGTGCATGGTCTGATGATGAAAAATTGAAAGCATTTGGTCTTGTTTGGACTGATTAAAATACGAAAAAGAAGCAAAGGTTGTGTCATGCATTTGATTGTTGGAGTTTTTGCTCCATTGCTCTTTAAATATTTTTTTCAGGTTTGTTTATCAAATGCCTGCCAGGAAGAGTTCTTAGGTGCATCCCTTGACCTTAACTGAATTGGGAACTGTATATAGTTAAGACAAACTATACGAAGTCTTTCTCTGAAGAATGCGTTTTGTTCATGTGTTTCTAAATATGCCATGTGGATGCTCTGTAGTGGGAAACAAGGCTAAATGCTGTGACAGAACCTCAATCAGTTGCAACAGGAATGTTCTTGGGATCTGCTATTTAATTGTGTGTCGATAATCCAAGGTAAATGGTGCAAGAACATGGTAGAAACTGAGGTACAAATCCACTAGAAAGAACTACTAGTAGCAGACAGAATACTTATAAAAGCAGATGGACTGCTGTGTAGTCATTACTCAGACTTGTAGTTTGTAACATGAAATGGAGACATTATGTCATTGATGGAGAAGGTCCTGGCAAAACTCCTGGCATAATGCTTGATAGAAGTAAAAACAACAGAATACCTTCATTGCATAGAGACATTCTGTGTGTCTTACGGTAAAAAGAACATACTTAGCTGGACATAAAGGAAGACAATATCCTACAGTAAAACTAAACAGATGTAATAATAGATACTGTTCTTTTTTATATATTTTTTTTTAAATATAGATGTGGTTTTTTTTTTTTTTTAGGAGGAGGAATAAGAGCTGGAAAGAATGCTAGGGAGCGTCCACACAGAGCCTTCGATAGCATAACTGTTACCAGGCACTTGTGAACTAGAATGTCTCCCCAACAATTCTCCTGCACAGCAGCTCTGTAAAGCAGCCCTGCAGGCAACAGCATGCAGGAAAGAAGATAAATGATGCAACACATGCAAATGTCCACTAAGGAGAAAATCCTAGCTCTGAAAAATAACAGGTACATGTATAGCAATCTCCATGTGATATTTCTTAGTTTGCCTGCATAAATTCAGAACTAAGTAAATCTTGTTCATTCCTGTATTTTTTTCTAGTTGATTGTTTTCCAAGCAATAAAGAAGTAGCACTCTGTTCACATAATCTTGTGAGTGATACAATAACATCATCAAGCAAAGGAAAGAAAGGCAGGAAGAGAGAGGCTATTTACCAGTTGAGAACAGCAATACAACAATGTTCTAATGGACTATTACAAAATCAATCTCCATGTGCCTTTTGGTAGTGCCTTTTCCTAAACAGGTTTGAAGCAATGGCATTCTTGCAGAGAAAGTTAGGATCATAAAAGTGTGGCTGTGAGGACAGTCTACATGGTGAACAGAGATCTCACACTTCACTGATACACCTCTGTTCCATGTATCACTTGGTATTACTGTTTTTAATGCAATTTATCCATGACTAGACTTTGTTGTCTTGTGGTCCTACCCCTCTGACAGAAACAGTCATTCCCTCCTTCTGGCATATCCCTACAGCACAGAATACATGTATGTAGAGTATGTGAACTGTTTTCATGTAAATATTAAAGGATTCTGACAAAGGGAGTTGGGTGCTAACTGTTCCTTGATGCTTCCCATCCCCGAAAAGGAGGCTGGCCTTTTGTCTCTACAGTCATGACCCAGGCATGTATAATGTCACCCACTTTATTTTTGGATAAATATTATTTCTTGAGCTTCAGTCAAAGTCCAATTCTACTGGCAGTGGATGGAGATGCATATGTACTTTTGCACATGTGAAGACTAACAGAGTTGTTTTTCTGCTGCTATAGCAAGATAGGTATACGAGTAGGCATTATCATGCTGTGGCCAAGTGACATAAAACTCCTCTAATGTGGGAGATTTTATTTTTTTAACTAGCAGAAGAAAAATAAACAGGGGTTTTCCATATGGGATGTTATTTTTTAAAATAACTCAATGAAAGGGTGGAATTAGTTTGACTGGTATTCACCATTATATATCCTTGCAATATAAACAAAATATGAAAAAAAATCAGGCTAGGAGAAACATTTTAGGTACATAAATGTACAACATTTTAAGTGCAAATGCTAACCACAGCATGCATCTCCACCACAGTATCAATCACAGACACTAATTCAGTGTACGATTAGATTTTCTAAGTTTTTACAAAAGGTTTACTTCCAAAGGATAACAAAATGTTTCCAGAGCCAGTAGATGAAATCTACAACTAAGACAAAAAATATTCCACCTGGTCCTCTATGTTGTTAAAGAAAATGTAGTGGAACACAAGCTGAGGCACTGGACATTTGGTTCATAATCTTAGCCGCTGATCTTTTATGTGCAAGTGACATAAACAGAAGAAAATATGCTATTTCAATATGTGGTAATTTTTTGACCACATATTCATACTGTTTACTCTTTTATGTATGCTTTTTTTTTTTATTCTTTCCATTCTGAGGGTACAGATTTTAGAAACAAATGGTTGTAGGAGGTTCCCTGTATAGCCTTTTTGTCTGGAAGAGACTTGGTTGTTTCACAAAGCAGAAAAACATTTTTTCATTCAGAAATGGGCTCCAGACCTCATTAAATATAAAACTTTTCATTTTTCCAAGACAGCATGCCTTTTCTATGCTCACTCTTCTGTCAATTCATGGAGGTAGTCTGCTTAGCTATGAGAAGAGTTTGGCAGAGGGAAGGAGGTCTCTAATAGCAGCATTCATTGCTTGAGAAGTCAGTGCAAAAACAGCCTTTGAAAGAATGATTCATTTTCTAAATGCAAAAAAAAAAAAAAAAAGAAATTGTGGCACCCATTGTCTGGTTGCTATTAGATGTGAAAGGAACAGGAACCATAGTTTAGCTGCATTTGACTATTATCACATCCCAAAGGAAGAACAGAAATGTAGTAGAGTTTAAGGGAAAGCCTTGGGTCCCAGCCACTCTGTTGGCTGTCTTATTAAAATACCCTAGCAGTACTTTTTTCTCTGAGTGTTACAGGCTATACAGCAAGCCAGGAGAAAGAAGAAAAGGTAGTCTGCTGTGCTTAGCTATAGATGGCTGTTAAATGAGTACTCACTCCTTACTCACTTCTTCCCTTGTTTTATTTCTCTTTGCTCTTGTGTTTTTAAGGTATCATCACGAGCAAGAGAAATAGTAGGATTTCTATCATATAACCTCATCCACAGCTTAACCAGCAATGCTTTTGCTCAATAAAGCCATGGCATTTTCTTTTTCATAGTTACTCCATGCTTTTGGCTTCTGCCATGTATAGACCTGTAGGTTGCAATCAAAAATCAAAACTAGACACCCACATTATAGCGTGGATACTGGTAGACTAAGAAGGGCCCTTAGCCCTCTTCTGTTATCCAGAAGACCTGAGAATAATTTTTACTCAGTTCCTCAGGAAGTGACAGCCTGTGGAAGCTGCTTGGTGAATGAAAACAAAACCATTACCTTTCCTTCAAAATTGACAACACTGACTAGCCTGAATTATTCTTCACTAGCTTTTGCAGTTTTCTTCCAGCATTTTGTTATTCTGATATAACTACATTACTGTGGAGTTTGAGATGAAGATCTCTCTGCTACATATGTGCTATCACTACACAACTCAGCAGTAAAAACAGCAGTTCATAGAGTGCAATTTTGTATGACATGTTTTTTATCTGTGTGTATGACACAAACTAAATATTCTTTATACAAATGTGATTAATTCAGTTTCTCCAGTTTGTTTATTATTGCAATCTAATGGTTTGGATAGCGTAGGGACACAAGTCAGTTTTTCTTCCCTTTTGTACAAGTTGTCAGCAGTTAGGTTGTGTCAGCTGAACTTCGTGACCAAATCTTTGGTAGTAGGTTGATAACTCACAATGCACTTTGTGGTTCCATATGTACTCCCTGTGCTACCTTATGCTGTACATTCTTTTATAAAAAGGACACTCAAAAGCACTAGAAAATGCCAACGGAAAATGTGAAGCAAATGTTCATAGATTAAATCCATGAGAAACCTGGATGGCCAATTCAGAGATAAAGTGCTTCATTTGTGTAAGTTCCAAACCACACAAAAACTACATTCAGTATCTTTTATGCTTTATAAGAAGGAAAAAATAGAAAAAAACATTACTTTATGTGCTGTGACTTCATACATATTTAGCTAGTTGGTTTGCACTTTCCAAAAAGTCCCTAAAAATAAACTGAAAATATCTTAAACTACTTATGGCAAATAGAATGGCAGGAAAACTCTATTGTTTCCAAATGTGCATTGAAACAAACGAGTGAACATGAGTCTCCTCTATAAGAGAAGGAGTCTAAATGGAAGAACTTAGTGAACCCTGAAGTCATATAAAAGTAACACAGTGAGACTTGTTCGCTTAACAAGATTTTATCTGTCAGTACAAAGGCAACACCTCTTGCTAACTTCAGACTATGTTTCAGAACTCAACTAATACGCTTCCAACATGTCACATTTTTCAGTGAAAATTGAATTAAAAAGTAATACAGGTAGGATTTAATACTGGTCTCCTTTTCCATTTCTGCATTTTACCATGTGAAAACAAAGACAGAACAAACGTTTGAAAAGTTAACTGTCTGACCCATTCAACTGAGTTGACTGTTTTCAACCATGACCAGGCAAAAATTCATGTTAAATATGTGGAAGTGTATTTATTAAAAGGTGGAAAAAAACTTGGAACTTAGGTTCAGAGACAGACTAATGACATTTTGAATATAAGTATTTTTAAATTCAGGACTTTTCATTTGCTGCAGCAAAATGAAAGTGCAAAAACTTAATCTTTTTCCTCTGGAGGAGAGAAGTTGTGATACTCTTTGTGGGCCTTTTTATTTGTTTGCTTTCCAAAGTTATTTCACTGTTTAACACCCCTACTCCCCAAGTAGTTTGTGTACTTTTCTTTGATCAGGAAATCACCAGGGAATATCCTCAATAAATGAAAAACAGAAAAAAAAAATGCCATCTCAGATAGTTTTCCCCACTTTGGACATGTAAGTTGCAAATGAACATAATCACACTGACTCTCCATTTAGGACAGATATTGTGTGGTTTCTTGTAAAACTTTGTCACCTTGTCAAGTCTGCTCATCTGTGAGTGAGCTCTTCTGCTGTGATTCAAGTGCACTGTTTGCAAAAAGGTAATGCAGCCATGACTTTTGGGGAGGTGCTTATTCAGGAATAATGTAAATTCTAGAGAAGACTTCTGCCTTTCAGGTACAACTGAGATAATATGCAGCTGCCAACCCTTAGTGAATCTTACCTTGGCCAGTTGTGCTTGGAGTTTGTTCTTTGCATCAGCTACTTCAGCAATGCGATTATTGAAGGCCAAGTTGGTGCTGACAAATTGATTCCACATCTCCTCAGATGTGCTCTCCAGTCCAACCTCTGTGTCCTCACGGAGCTTGACAGAGTTGGCCCTTGCATGCTGAGAGCATCTGATATTGTCTTCACTGAATTTAGCCCATGTTACAGGAACTGAAACACTAGTAAGGAAAATTGAAGTAAAAGCTTAGGTGAGCTATCTTCTATTAATTGGCAATTACACTGAGATTAAGTGTCCATCCACTGAATTGTACAAACTATGCAGGCACATACATCAGATGATTTTATGGGTTTCATATGCATTTTTTTCTTTCTTTGTTTCACATGATTTCATATACAGCAAAGATTTGTTCACACTGAGATTTTGGAGAGCTGTTGCTTCTACAGGGTTCCAATGGCTTGCTTGAAGATTGTAGAAGAAATTGTTTTGTTTTGTTTTTGAGAGAGAATGAAAATCTCTAATTTCCTCAAAGTTGGATAATTAAATTACATTAATCCCCAGCAAAATCTTCATTTTCCAGGCAATATTTGTATAGCTGCTAACTGAAGGTCTCACTGCCTATGACATCAACTCCACAGTAAATTTATGTTTTGCTGTATATGTATGGTGATGCTTAAAAATATATTTATTTGGGATCAAGTAAGAATGTCAGCAATGCAGCTTCTTCCAGCCTTTAACAGACTAGGTGGTTGTCTGAGTTCATACCTGCTATATGTCAAATGAAGTTTGACTCATTTCTTTTTTTCAAGTTTAAGAGTGCTTGAGGCCTTAATTGATTATTAGATAATTTAACATGATCTCCTGTCCATTGCACACCATCATAATAGATTCAAATACTGTTTACTTTCATGAACGCAAAGCCTTTGTCCTGGGAAACTGAGTTGTGTGTCACCAACTACCAGATGACATGAGAACCCAAGGAAAATGAAAAAGAAACCAAAAGAGAAGGATTGTTAGGCAACACTTCTGGTCTGCTGTCAGAGCAGCCCTGCCTCATGAGATATATATGACCTACACAATAAAGCAAGTGGTTCAGGCCTCCTTTCATCATCAGAATGAATGGTAGCAGGAAAACGGATAAGGTACTGACTGAGCTAGGATAGGAGGAAGGAAAAAGGAATTTTCTCCCGGCTCCATCACTCTCCATCTCTATCATTTGGAGTATTTTCATCCTCTTACTTTTCCATGTATTATAATGAACATTTCTGCTTTAACATACAGGCCTATTATTGTTAAATTTTCAATATCTGTGGGACATACAGAAATGGCATTGTTATGGAAAAGTCTATGAATAGAGAGAGAAAAACTGAATGTAGGGTTCCAGCACTGAAAATACCACCCATGAATGTTCCCTCTGCAATATCCTGTAGCCAAACAAATTTTGGGATGCTCGGTTTCATGCTCAGCCTTCACAGATGACCTTCAATATCATAATTAGTTGAACCTAAATCCCAGACTCAGATTTTTCCAACCTGGGAGTCTGTGGGACTCTGAACTTGCCACCTGAGCCCCCAGCTTGAAAAGTGGTGGAACATAAGCTACCCTCTTTGGAGTTAAATTCACAACCCCATTTAATGCATTGCTTAGCCTACTAGGTCACTTTGACCTTCAACCAGAAATATTTAGCATGTTTTATGGAAAGATCCATATGTTTTAGTTACCAGCTGAAAGGCTGAGACAAACTTCTGCCTACTTTTAGACTTCCTTCTCCACACAAAACTTCCTTCTAAGAACTATGCCTGCATGTTAAACTCTGCATGGATAAGTCACCATTTTTCGAGTCTCACAATTACTTTATTTAGATTTTAATTTAACACTGAGAATTAATACTAATGGAGGCAAAAAATAAATAAAAATTGCCAGTGCTTGTTTTCTAAGTGGCCTTTTTTTCAGTTTTTCATAGGGTGTTCCTCTCTCTCCAAACTGAGCACTGATCTTCCTAAATCATTAAGGAAATCCTTAGTGCTACACATTCATTTAGGCAGTTGCCCTGAAAAGTTTCAGGCACCCGACATGATTTCGTAGTAGAGTGCATAAATCAGTATATTAAACCTGAGCTGACAGTGTTTACAACTATTTATCCAAATGATCTCAGTGTACATTCTGCAGGACATTTGTTCTTTCTTTCTTTTTTTTTTTTTTTTTTTTGTCTTCATCTTTTTGGTCTCCTGGATTATACTCATTTTCTGATCAGAAAATTAAGTTTCCAAGAAGGTTTTCATCTTGACTGTTTGAAATATTTAGTACTTAATCTGTTCTTTAACGTTGTTTTTTCCAGACTAATTTATCTGGCTGACTTTGGTGAACGACTCGAGCAGAAAGCACCTGCTCTGCTCCTGAGTGCTGCAGGTGTGTCTCAGTCTGCCAAATGATTTCAGTAAAATATTAATGAAAAATGGCATTGCTTTGGATTATGGTTAGTTAGAAAGTAAAAGGGTTGTTAAATTTATCCACATGAATCTCCTTTTTTACTAGAGTTAACAAGAATATTTTTATTCATTGCTAATCCTGAAAGTAGGTAGTGTTACTAGAGTCAGCAGAATGCTTGCTAAGTTTCTCTCAGATGTTCCCTTATTTCAGTAATGAATTAGGTGATCATTTAATGAAAAGCAGACTATAAGCAAACAAATATCAAGGAATTTCCCTCCTCTGTCCAAGAAGACACAGTCGCCATCATTTGAGATTGTAGAGTACATTCACCATTCAGATACTGCTATGCTAAAGAGCGAGAAGGGAACTAGCAAGTCATCAACACAAAAACACTGCCCTCTATTGCAAGTTGTTTTCCCGCTGCTGTTGCTTCAGGATTGGATGCAGGTGTTGATAAGGCAACTACTGATAAAGTTTTAAAACTGTTTATAATTGGGAAATTTTAATTCAGTCAGTAGTGCTAAACTATGCCAAATCTTTTCTGGTCATACTATTTAATATGTACCTCTGTATCTTGATGGCCTAATTTCCAAAAGAAAAAAAGTATCTATATAGTCCTTGGTGTACACTTGCACGCGGTTCACCCCATTGCACTTAACTGCACACCTTAGCTGGATTTTGCTTTGATTTTCTGTGGTTTTGAAACCTGAAGGCCACAGATTATAAATCAATACCACAGGGAGGTATCTGCATGAAACAGTTTGAAGGCTAGGAGTCGGCTGCAACACAGTTGTAAAGGATTGTCTTCTCTGAAACGTACAGCTCACTGCACATTGAACATGATAGGTGCTGCAGACTGCCAGGCCTCCGACCATGGCAGCTGTTAGAAAGCAGGGAATAACTGAGTGACAGAGGATTTTGCACTAAGGAAAGACAGAAGCGTACAGAGAGAGAAGCCACTTCTTTATCACTTTTCACGTATGAGCAAGGACTTGTGCTGCAGCCAGCCTCCTGCTTAGAGCAGGGCACATGGAAAGAGCAGGTGACAGTGACCACTTATACTCACGTCCCATCTACTTTCTCCACTCCATGGTAGAAGTTGATGCTGTCTGATGTGTTCCTCAGGTTAAAGCACTTCTCATCAATAAAATGGGCAGAGTTTTTGTCAGAAAGGTCCTGCTCCAGTGCATGCTGTGCATCTCTGTTGATGCTGTGAAGGGAAAGTCTTGCCTTAATACGAACTGCCTTTAATGCTTTTGTGCTAGGTAGCTAATTGCCTTCATTAGCACCCTGCAATGCCTCATTTTATAGTTTGCTGGCATTTACAGTGGCATGAAAATGCTTTTCACTGTAATTTAACTAGAGGGAGCTGCTGTACCATTCATCCCTGCTCTCCTTTTAGCCTATGGTGAGTATTCCCCAAAGAATAGCATTTAACTCAGTGCATTGAATGATGCTTGTCATTTTGATGACAGTTGACCACAGGTATGAAAAACAACAGATAGCTGTTTTGTGGCATGAAGGAAAGCCTTGGAGCAAAAGCGAATAAGCATTCAGTAATAGCTTGCATGCTGGCAAAACTGTGAGAAAGAAAAGTGCGTAGCAGAGTTATAGTATGCCATCTCTCTTGATTTGGGGGGGAAAAATCACTTAGCGGGAGAGAAATATGTTGCTCCATCACTGCTTTCTTACCCACAAAGAACTTTTGGAATAACTTAATCTCGTTGGCTCTTCCTAAAGCAGGGAAGGCCTGATGTGGCCTTTGGACTGTAATGGGAGTAATATGGATGAACAAAATCAAAGTGCAGCATTCTAGTGCATCAGGAAGACTGCAAACGTGTTGACTTTTTTGCAAATATTGCTGTTTCCATGATGTAAATGTAAATTGCCATTAGTACTAGTCTGTCTGACTTGGTCACAAAATTGAATGAAAAGTAACCAGAAATGCTGCCCTAAAGAACCAGAAAGAGTTCATGCCATCAGGTATGAACTTAGCCTTTATCAGATCATGTGCCTCATATGTCACAGTAGTGGGGTGAGCTGCAGTTATCACCTTACTCATGTGAGTTCTAAGTGCCATTAATAAGAGCGATAATTGATGAAGTCTGCTTAGGTCTTTATCTCTGGTAATATAATAATCAAGGACTTCACAATGTTATGTTCATTGTGTGTGAGTACTTCACCTGTTCCTTTTGAGAATCATGTCATGTCATAGAAACATTACTTTGTAAATTTGCATCAGTTCAGTGTAGTCAACAGAACAGGCTATATACAGAATAGTTTTAACTATTATTAACTATAAAATACATATAAACATACATAAAATTAATTTAAGTCAAGTCTAATCGGTAACTCAATTCATACTTTATGATGTGCATAGATTACTGTTTCTTTTGTGAATAAAAATTTTGCTTTTGAATTTAGTTTTGTAATTAAAAAAAAAAATAAAAATAATTCCTTTATTCTCTTTGAACTTTGCTCCAGTGTGGCAAATATAGCAGCATTGGCATAACAAAGCTGTAATACTAGTGCCCCCTATTTTAATTATTTCAGGTTTAACATGACTCTAAAAATTGTGTCACAGTT